GGATCCAAATGCCTGCCATCTAATTGGACAATTACACCCGAGATGGCGCCATTGCGTGTGTGGATGATGCGTGAGGAGAGTTGGGCGGGTAATTGATCATTCGTGCCACTTTGTATACCTCCGCTGCTGCTGCTCGCCAGGCGACCACTGCGGTGGTTGCCACTGTTTGAGCCACCACCAGATGAAGCTAAACTGCTGCCGCTGCTCGTGGAAGAGGTGGATGATGATGAAGTAAGGGATAATGAGGGCACGGAACTTGAACTCGAGCTGGAAGTCGAGCTGCTGCTGCCGATCAACACGAGTCCTCCATTACTTGTTGCAGAAAGGGAGCCCCGCTGTGGGGCACTCAGGTTGCCACCGCCACTGCTGCTGAAGCTGCTGTAGCTGTAGCTGTTGCCAACCGCGTGTCCGCTGCTGCTCAAGAGCACTAGCATTGTCATCATCAGGGACGACCATGTCCGTGTTCTCTCAAGTTTTCTTCTCGTTCTCGATGATGATGCTGCTGCTGCTGGCGGCAGTTGTCGCTTCGAATGCAGCAACATGACCATTATTATTATTGGTCAAAAATGGCTGTTGGATTACTGTGCTTTTTTTTACTGTATTTTTTATATGTTCGCTGTTCGAGTTGTATAATTGACCACAAGATAGCTGCTGTTTGTGGCGTGGCCTCGTTTTTCGCTTACGCTTTTGCTTGTTTTCTGAAGAGATTTTTCCGCTCTTTCCCCTCGTGCTTTTTCATATGGTTTTTTATTATTAATTAAAACCAGCGATAAGTTTGTTTGCAACAAAAGAACGTAGCAATTGTTGAACTGGAAAGAGAATAAGCAGAGAGAAAGAGAGAGAGAAAGGTTGCAATCAATATTATAGATGAGGGTTGTACGCCGCTAGCAAAAGTAGTAGGTGACGAAATGTTCATATTAAAATCATGTAAATAGTTTAAGTATTCATGAGGATTTCTAGGGATTCGAAGGATTCATATGTTAAATGGAAAAAGTTGTGAATATTTATGGGATGGATGGGATAATTGTGAAACAGCTACGAAATATTTTAAATGACGATTTATCTATGTATCGAGAGCTCATTACTTTAATTCTCTAATGATTGATGGCCAGCTTTATTCCATGATAATCTATGATTATTTTTGGACCATAAAACCTGGAAAATGCTTGCTAATAAATGATTTTTTTTTAAACGGTTCGTGAAGAGTAAATAGGGTATATTTTATTTGTGCACAAAAGTGAATGAATGTTTCCTACCCCAAAATGTACATATATATGTTCTTGGTCAGCATCAATAGCCCAGTTTATGTATATCTCTCTGTCTGTCTGTCAGAGCGGTTGGCGTTAGTACCGGGGACAAAAGTTGGGACGCGTAAGAAGCGTCACACGCGTCCCTTCTCGTTATGATATATTTCGATAAATAATTAGATGTAAAAGTCTGCATGTTTTTTAAGATTTTTCTTTTAATACTTTTTAATTTCTGAACTAAGATCCGACCTGAATCCTCCACACTTTATTATATTAAATATTCTCTTAAGTAACAGCGAGAAATTCCAGCATGCCTCTTGCTGCCCCTCAAGCAGCCCTCTTCATCAGTCAGACCGACAGACAGAGAGACGGCTGTACCACTCTTCTCTTGGCTCTTCAGCCAATTCCCCACCAAGTGCGGTGCGGTGTGTGCCTTGAGGCATTTTCAGACGAGGACCGGACGGCCCCAAAAAAAGTATGCTATGCCATTTGGTAGTCTCTGAATGAAGGCACGCATCCAAAAAAAGAACAGAAAGCCAAGACAAAAAACCCTCCGTCCATTCTTTTTTTGTTTTCTTTTTTTTGTTTTCGGTAGCCTTGTTTTTTGGGATGTTTGCTAGCTGAAGCATCACCTTGTTTGCACTTGGTGTAGTGTCCTTGCCCTTGTTGTTGTGGTCCACAACAGCAGGAGGAGAAGAAGAGAAAGGGTGGGTGGGACAGTTGGCATTTTGCATATGCCAGACATGTCAGGCAGGCAGAGAAAGGGAGAGACTCCTGACAACATGAGGACAAGAATGCCTACGTGAATGTCAAGGAAGAGTGAGAAGGAGGGTGGGTGAATCCTTTTCATTGTCTGGTTACTGGAATGACATTGGGTCATTGGAAGAAATGGTCTCTATTGGAGGAAGGACACCAAACAGTCAGCTACGGGAGATAAGGGATAATGTACTCTACGGAAAAATATCTGTTTTCGGATTTGTTACTACTCAAAGGGGATACATAGATCCTGCTACACAAAAGATATCTTTCTTGAGACGCCAGTCTGTGTAATTTAATCTCCTATTGAGAATGTAATCCAACCCAATTGCAGCAGCCATCCTTTTGCCACTCTTTTTCGCTGCTTTTGTCTTGAGTAATGCACTTGACAGCCTTAAAAGCCCTGCCCTGCCCCGTTCTGTTATTCTTTTTGTGGTAAAAGATAGAAAAAATTCGTATTCTACTTACTCATTCCATGCGTTGTTCCGTTGCTGCTGTCTGCGCCTTTACTGCAGGTGCTAAGACTTGCCTGAGATGATGATGATGCTGTCTTGCACGTGTCCTTGCTCCTAGTGCGGATTCTGTTGCAGCATCTTCTTTAGAAACACTTCACGTACGCCTCGCTCAGCTGCGTCGTCTGCTGCTTTTGCTAGCGCTACTGCAACTGCTGGTGCTGCTTTTTCTTCTGCTGCGTTTTCTGAATGCCTGCACGCTACAATTGTCATGCAAGCGGACATTTTACAGAGATATTCACGTGCTTAACACCCTCTCCACTGGCTGCTCCTGCTCTTGCTCGAGTAGCTGCTGCTGTTGTGCCATCGTGGCGTCTGCTATAAAGAGAAGAATACTTTTTATTAGTCCCTCTATTCTCTCTCGTAGTATATCATATGCCACTTAGACTATGATTAATAATTGAGCGAGACACGCGCCATTTGAATGCGTATTTAGTGCGGGTAAACAATTGACTTAAGACAGCTTCACCACCAGCAGCACCAACACCGGAAAGGGCAATCAATAATGCGGTGAACGTGGATAAGTGCTCTTTTTGCGGAGATTGCTGTTGGGTATGATCATTCATATGCATTTAGATTCTAATATATTAAAAAAATGAAATGTTCATTTGTATATGTTATTTTTTATTTAGATAACTCTCTTTGACAATTTAATAAACGCCGATTCTCGATAAATTTACAAAATTAAATACTTCATTTAAAAAACACCGCCAAAACAAACAAAAATTTTCGGAAGAATTTTTCCTCCATCCTTTAATTAACACTCTGCCATCACCAACATATATCCTTGGCGCTCTCTTTCTTTCTTTTGCTGCACTATTAAGGGCAGGGTATAATCAAGCTCGTTATCTCGTGCCAGCCTCTTGGAAATTTCAATTATATGATGCCCTCAAGTGTAAGTAAATTATTATGCAGATCATTAGCAAAGTAATTAGGATACAAGCCTCGCTGCCATGCGGCAGGGCTCCACCGCCATCATAATCCTTGGCTCACTAGTTGAATTAATTGTATTCGTGGAAATTGAGTTATATATTTTAGCCCACACTCCATCAACGCCTACCAGCAATTCCTGGTCTGGTATCTCTTCGACTTGTTTACTTGTTTTACCCGCATTTATTTATGCAAAATTCAAATGAATTTCCTGCAAAATAATTTCGGCCGAAGGGCATGAGTGTACTCGTAGTTGTTAAGCTACAGATACATTCACTGACAAAGTAAACAGCCGGAGAGAAGCTTAGTTTTTGGGTGTACTCGAAAGAGAGTTCTTAAGTTTCAAGAACAAATAAGGAGAAGAGCCGAGAGAGCCGTCTCTCCTACCAGTTACTCGTGCCGTTTAAACATTGTAAATCATACGCTACGTTGAGCCCTTCTTTTGTTTGAATATTGTAAATGAGTTAAGCATCCCATCCCTTCCCAGGCCATGTGGCACATTGTGGCCTGAGCTAAGCTCCTCTTTGTTTATTTGTCAAGCTGTTGCAAACTGTTGCGGCGCCCAATTCCCTAAGTTCCTTCTACTGATTGTTATTTATGGCCAAGAAATATCGCAGAAAACTCCTCTTTGTTCAAGTAGCACTCGAAAAGGGACCACTACCCATGTACACAATAATTTCAGATCTTATTACATGACAGCACGAAAAAACATCTTCAACTTTTTGGGCCAGAAAGTTCCGCCCCTCTTTACGGAAAGTTCTGTATGGAAGAAACAAAAAGTTGTCAAGATGTTCAAATTTTGTGTATTTCGAAAATGACTTTATTCACATTTGTAATTTGTATCTCTCTCTCTCTCTCTCGGAGATAATTGGACTCGCATTCAGTTTCAGATTCAGATTCAAGGAATGTTGCTTGCCTAATTTAATTGCAAATAAACGAAACGAAATTCCATTTTGAATGTGAAATACTTTTGCTTTAATTAAAAATCAAAACGCGATAAGCGGCAAAGGGAATTTCCTTGAGACCCGTGCCGCAGGAGGAAGCAGTCTCTTGACTTTTCAACTGGCCGCAATTTCCGTCTTGCCGCAAACTTTTTTTCCGTAGCTTTGCCACATAAATTTAGCGCCAGCTAGACGGGGGCATCCGCACAGCATCCGCACAGTCACAAGCGCAGCCACAGTCGCGTCCAAGGGTCATTAATTTGTCTTTTGTGGGGGTGTGAGGAGTAGGTCTAGAGAACAGGAGAAGTCATTGCTGCCGCCGACTTTGAATTAAACTGCTTAAGTAGCACAACTAAATTAAGAATTGTGGCCCAAGCAATTACGAGTAGATAGAGAAATGGCTATGGCTAGAGTAAACAACAATAAAGCTCAAAACTGAGGGGTATAGTGAATATATCGGATATTTTGTTAGACTTCAATGTGGCAGAATTCATAGACACATAAAAGGACAACTTATATTGTGCTTTCGGTCTTCGATAAACTAAAGGAAAGGAAACGTCTTTCTCCTTTCTTCCCCACAGATACTGCGTATGTGTTATATTGAAAATTCTACCCTCTCTGTGTTTCTCTCAATCTGGAACCCGCAATGAATGGAATGATGGGAGCGTACAGAAAGAAATTGCTTCTTCATATCGATTGATAAGCATGCAGACATGTATTTCCGGAAATTTAATCAGTTTTTCGTGCTTAAACCAGTTGTGGAACCGAGAACGAACGAAAGAATCTTTACGAAATAATATAAAAAAACGAAGCGAAAAGAAGAGAAATCCAAAGCCAAAAGGCAAAGGAAAAGCGAGAGCAAAGGCATGTGTAGAGCGGCGGAAGTAGGATGAAGAGGATGAAAATTGTTTAGCAGTTGTCTGCCTGCGTTCTGCTCTGACTGGGGAAATGGAAATGAAAATGTTTCTGACTTACTTGCCTTGGCATTGTTATTTGAGTTTATTGAAATGACTGTCTTGCCCGAGAAGCCCAGTCCCTTAGCTTTTCCCGTTGCTTAAGTGGGTATGAAAATACCAAAGGAAAGCCCTGGACCCGGAGAAAGTGAAAGATGAAAATGGCTTTTCGGCTTTGCTTTTTGTTTGCTCTCAAAAAAAAAGAACAACAACAATGCATAAAACTAAGTCAAATGTGTTATTCTATAGTTGTTCTTTTTTTTTACGGCTCGAATCACTAAAAGTCTTTTTCAGAATTTCTTAATCATTTCCAACAGAAATAAAGAACAAACAAGTAACCTATGGAGCCATCGAAACTACTGTGAAGAAATGTATATAGTTTTTCGTTTGATAAAAAAGAGGAAAGCCCCGAAGAACAGCAGAATTTTTCATGCAAATCTATGCTTAAAAAAGAAAATCGTGAATTCGCTTAAAGAAAATATGAGTGAACAGAAATGCAATCTGTAAAAAGAGTTGAAATCAAGCAGAAACAAAAAAAATGCACAGATAAGAAAAAGAAAAATACAAGGAAGACTGAAGAAATGGAGAACTTTTGAATGTGATGGGAAATAATGCGACTTTTTAACTTAGTTTTTTCGCTAAATGCATTTTGCATGTCAGAGTTCGTCTCTCTCAAGGAGAGAGTCTCAATCTTTCTGTCTCCCTTTTGCTAACTGTGTTTTTGTATCTGTACTTTTTTCTTTTCTCTGTATCTATATATATGAATGAGTCTTTCTCCCGCAAACTCTTCATTGGTTTAATGGTCTCTCGATCTTTCCTCTACTCCTCGCTGCTGTTGCCCTGCATTTGAGGCTGATGCTTTCATTATCTAACAAACAAAAGATTATAATTCGCGACCACGCCTTTTTTTTTACATACTTTCCTGCTCGTTTGCATTCGCTTCTCAGCAAGGGACTCCGCCCTGGCCATGTCCGACGTCTCCTGTCTGCCTAGCGGGCTAAGTAGTCAATGGGAAAAACAATGGAAAAGCCAAGCCAAGAACGGCACAAATTAAACCGACTTTTCATCAGGAAAAGCACCGACCCAACATGGAGAGGGAAAAGAAAAAAAAATAAGAGAAAATTATAATCCAACTTGAAAATAAAATGCAGGAAAATAGTTTCCTTGGAGTTTAAGCTCTAAAAGAGGAAAAAGTACTTAAAAATTGGTATAAAATATGGAAAATATGCGAAAGAATCTACTTTTCATTTAAAGTTCCAATTTCAATTATAAATGTAGATAATTTTCAATCAGAAATTAAAGTAAATGTGTGTGTGGGATAAATTATGCAAAGTTCTTGGGAGATTAGAATCTTTTCCCACACACACACACACACATACTTTTGTACATACATGTATGGATTTATTCTTCGGGTCATCCCCTCCCAAAAAATTGGCCAAAGCAGCAATAAATTTCTCCGCACAATTGAGCCTCTGAAAAATGCATGGGCTAAAATTAATTTCCCTCTGATTTTACATGGGCATAAATTTTCGATGCTCGCGGCGGCTAATGCTAAAATTTCGACAGCAAATTTTCGTGCTGAAATAAATTATCGTTTAATATTGGCAAATAATTTCGGCAACATCTCTCTCTCTCTCTCTCTCTCTCTCTGGTTTTTTCCCAGCAGGAAAAAAAGTTTTCCTTGAATTTTCGGCAAATTGAATTCGTTACTCAGCGTCGCATAAAATGATTTGCCCCTCGGGGGGTCACCGACAACAGCAGCAGCAGTGGCAGCGGCAGCGGCAAATGGCGAAATAATGATATTAAAGCCACATTACTCCATTACACACACACACACACACACACACATATACACATGAAAAAGTAAATGACGACAATAACGTAGGCCCCGCATAACACACACACAGGGAAACAGATACATGTATAAATAAAGACATTACGCATACGCCCCGTAAGCCATTGCCAGACTAAATAATGAGGCTAGAGATGCGGACCTTTGCGATGAAGAAGGCCACCTATGGAGAGGTGTAGAATGTTAGAAATGGGAGATAAATGGCGAAAAAGATGAGACAGAAAGAAAAGATGGCAGAGCGTGCTGAAAGACGCAATAAGTTAAAGCAAAACTGCTTTTCGCTTCTGTAATTTTCAGTATTAAGCTGAACAACACGCGCACGAATCATCAATTGCAACTCCACCCGAAACTTAAAAGCTTGTCAGGCAGGGAAACCCAAATAGACGAGTAACGCTGCTGCATGCCTCATAAAACCAAATTATATCTTCCAAATTCCAGTATATATTCTTCTTCTTTTCACATACACATTTTATGCAGCGATAATTTCAAATAATAATCAATTTCCTCAACACACATAGAGGCACTATTCGTCGGCCTAGCTAAAGTCCTAATTAATTTCAACTCATGCCGAAACTATCCCCCTGGCTTTGTTTCAGGGATTACTTGTACTATTTTCCCTAGATTTGCCGAGTATTTTAATGACATTTTCATAAACAGCCGCCGCTATTCTGTCCTCGCTCTCTCTAGCTGTCTGTCTGTTTGTCTGTCAATGCGTTCCTAATTCCTTTTTATGCCACGTGGACTCTGACTCTCTCTCGCATTCTGACGTTGGTATTTTTTTTTCACATGGCTAAAATGGCAGATAAAATAATTTATTGGGTAAAAATCGCTGGCCAAGAGCTTAGCGTTTTGGTTTCTCCTTCGTTTGTGTGTTTTTTTTTTTTTCTTGAGCTGGCATTGTTGCTGTGTCCTCGCCATTGTCTTTTGTCTTTTGGCTCATGTTATCTAGAATGGAATATCTATTTTGGCCATCGCTTTTGGCCCTACCATAATGTTGGCGCCATGTTGATGTTATCTTAGCGGAAGTGTTGACTCAATGTTTACTCAATGAGGGCGTTTCTGGCGCTATGGCGATATGAAGGTCCCTCCTTTGTGTGTCTCTGTGTGAATGTATGTATGTGTATGCTCATCAGTGTATTCCTTCCTGCCTGCCATTTTGTTTCGCCCATTTTGGCTCTTTGTTTTGTGTCCTCCACTTAGTTAATACATTTACTTGTTTCTCTTTTGGGCTTATAAATATGCAAAAACCCAAAACCAACTCGACGCCTTTTACTGTCGCATAATGCAAGGTCAAACCCCTGACACATGCTTGCAGTTATGTAAGACAATGGAAATGACCTCCCCAACCAAGGCAATAATTGGCAATAGAATGGCTTCCATTTTTGCCAACTTAAAAAATAAATAAAGTCTTGGCAGACAATGGGTCACGACGATCTGGGAAGCCTAAAAAAAAACAATTTTAATGCATAGACTAGACTAGAATAAGAACAAAGAGAGGATATACGAATTCTGAAGGAAAGCGTTATTATGGAAATATATAGATAAATATACATAACATTTGATAGGGCTATTTTCTGCATTTGCCTTGATGTGTCAAAGTGATTGATGGAATTGCAAGTATCATATGACATTGAGGGTACATTGTGCATATATTGGATTTTGTGTTCATGAAGTGCTCTATTTCTGTCCACAAGCCCGCAAGGCGTAAGCCTCATGGCAACTGCTGCTTCTGCTGGTGTTATTTCTAGTAATATTTCAATCTCTACGACTGCAATCTCTGCTTACCACACAGATGAGCCTGTAAATCTGCCCTAATGAGCAACACCTAGGGAGACATATTGAAAGGACAGGAGTAGCAGCAGCTGCTGGTGTGAAGCATCTGTTGCAAAATTTACAGCACAAAAAAAAATCAGCTTAACCACAAAACTGTGGAGTGGAGTCGGAGCAAGGGAGGGGTGTTCGTATGTGTAGTTGACAATCTAATGGGACATCTTCAGGCTATTTGGGCTTTGGCTTTTGTGTGTCGGTCGGTCCTTCGTTTATGCTTCTGGTCCGCCTGTCCCACTGGTCGGTCTCTGGCTTTGTGTGTTTCCGTAAACTGTCATTTCCGGCTGCTGCTGCTCCTGCTGCTCCTGCTGCTCGACTGCTTTGCTCTCTTCCTCTCTCTATCACTCTCTCACTGCTTTCAATGCACAATAATTGTTATCTTCAACAATTTGCGGATGTTATAAACATATACGACTGCTTCATATTGTTGTCTGCATGTAAATACAGTAGAAGCTGGAGCCAGAGGACTGGGAATGGGTATGGAAATGGTGTTTTGTGGCTCTGGGATTTTCGGAATTGGTTGCGGGAAGGCAGCGGGGAAAGGGCGAGGCAGACTCAGATTCACAGTCGATGTTTGCACTTGTCGTTGCTTTTAATGGCTAGACCAAAAGGAGTGCACCTGCTCTCGATGACTGCTCCTTATTCTGCTACCCCTATACTACTCCTACCTCTCCTGCTCCTGCTGCTCACACTCCTTATCCTGCACCTACTCTCCCTTTGCTGTTCCTATGCCTCCCTCCTCGTTCTATCTTCTTTCTCCTTCAACAATCGACTTGCCTCTCCCAAGTGTAGAACTGGCACGGAAGACATTTAGCTAAGCGCTTCGCTTGGCAAACAATTTTCGATTTCAGTCTTTTTTCCACTCTCCGAAAACACCCGCTGGAGGCCCTGTGGCATCCCATACCACTTCCTGGCACCCTCTTTCATGGGGGGATACGCGCAATTTGAAGCTCATGTGCGAAAACTTTCAAGCGGTGAAAGTTGTGAGCTCTCTATCTCTATCTATATCTCTATCTCTCTCTCTCTCTCTCTCGCTCCTTTAAATAGCATAGAAAAAAAGAACTCTGAGTATCATGGGATAGAGAAGGTTCATGGATAAAGGAGGTTCATGGAGGAGAAGGTTCCTTGGGGTTACGGATGGTATTACACGCTAAGCCATGCTGTAGCTCTCTCTTACTCTTTGGCAGTAACTTTTCCTTGTAGTTTTCGATACGAAAATTTGTTACAAGCGAAATATTTTCTAAGACTTTTCTTTCAATTTTTGTATTTTTATTCTGCAGCTAAGTTTATTCAAGTTTTTAGCTAGAGAATCAGGAGAAATATTTATGCTCGAGGATTCTTAATAGCTTTGAAAAGTATGCGAGAGAAGCTGTAGCGTAAGACTTGGCTTTAATTAAGAGCCAAAACGAGAGATTCTATCTGTCGATTATCTGCTTGTGCACCTCGCATACGCCCCATTGTCTAGGTGTCACGTCGTAGTCCTCGTCATTTAGACTATTCTTCCACCTGTTTGACGTTGCGTTTACTCATACGCCTACGTGTCTCATTAAGAGCCACCCAATCTCTGGACTTTTGGTAATAGAAAACTTTGCCATAAACTTAATTAACAATCGCCCAGCCGCCCTTCCTCTTCGAAAAGGTATCGGCAGGCGGTCTCTCGAATTGCTGCTCCAAGCCGAAGGTTTAGCTTCTTGTCCATTGTTTTGGCCATTTCATTTGCAAACGGGAGCTACCCCTCCTCTCTTGCTCTCTCTCTCTCACCTCTTTGTAAATGTGAGTCCCCTCTCTGTGTGAATGGGAGTTCTGGGCGCCTTCCTTTCAGCCATACCATTAAATTGGTCATTAGGCGTCAAGTGGCTCTGCCGCTGGTGCTTGGCACAGTCCGGGACATAAACAAAAGGCATTCGAAATTGTTTTGGCTTAATTTGAATGCTTCTCCCAGGCCCAGACTGCTTTAATTACTGGCCATGGCGCTGCGTGCCGTTGCTTTGTGTCGTCTCGGATGGCAGGTGGCTTTAAAATTTAATGCATCAATATATTTCGTCCTCTCTCTCTCTCTCTTTGTGTATTTCGATCCGCAAAAGTTTTTCGGAGAGCTCAAAAATCAACAGAAAAATTTGCTTTGGAAAACAAATCTTTTTAATTGTTCCTCTATGCACAGGGGGCGGGCATTCCGAAGGGGCAAACGGAAAAAGTTCAACGTGAAATTTGTTGAGAGAGCAAGTTTTTCTTTCTATTTGGTTTGGCTTTTCCTACTGCTGGCCTTTTTCTCCTGGCTGTGTATGTCCCTGGCACGAAAACAAGAAAATTAGTTAAAAACTTTTTACTGGGGTATAGAGGGAAAACGGGAAAAGAGGAAACGACTGAGGAATTTCCTCGTGAGTGTTCAACATGAAAGAGGATTGAATAAGTGCCAGAGAGCATAAGGCTAATTTTTGAGTGTTTCGAATGCTGCAACACTCGTGAAAATGAATAATAGAAGGATCTCAAACTAAAAGAGAGTGTCGGGCTGAGAGATTGGCTTTCCATTTGAAATCTTCCAGAGTGTCGCTTTCCGTATTTTCGCTCTTGGATTTTTTGCCTTGCCTTGCTGCACCTCTCACATTTTTTTTTTGCTTTCTTTTGCATTTATGCCCATAATTCTTGTTGCACTTTTGGCATTACTGCATTCTTTTTGCATGCAACACAAAAATAAAGGAATTCTGAATTATTTCCATAGTTTTGGGGTTTCTTTTTAGGGGCTAAAACATATCCATATAGAGTGATGGTGGAATGAAAAGTAAGCGCATAAATAAACCATTTGTGGTGTTAAAGTAGATCCCTGGCTGCGGGCCACGCCCACATATATGAGGCATAAAGAAAAATTCGTGGTATGGAAATCTGTTGAGTGGAAAATTACAAAAAAATGCACAACGCTGCGTTTACCCAACATTTTCTGCTGGATGAAGTGAAAAAGAGGAAAATACAGGAGGAGAGAAAGGAGGTGGAGCCAAGGGATAGGTGGAAAAGGTAGAGCGTCTCGAGCGGCGCTCGGTTGTCGGACGACCCACATGTGTGTGTGTGTGTGTGTGTGTGTGTGTGTGTGTGTGTGTGTGTGTGTGTGTGTGTGTGTGTGTGTGTGTGTGTGTTGCTTTTAAGTATTTTCGGCAAGTTGTGCATATTTTAATTAGTTTCCATAGGCAGCCGGCACAACAGGCAAACAGTTTTCGTCTAACAAGCAACAGAAGGAGTCAGGAGGAAGGCCGCAGAAGGAAACAGCATAAGGAAGGCAGTCGAAAGGTATGCAAAAGGCACCTACCAGAGCGAAAGCAGTTTCGAAATGAGCATAAGATATGGCGTATACGTAACCTGCGAACGTAACTTTTGTAAAATATGGGCGGAAGGGAAATATAGGAGTTGGAAGTGGGCCCAGATGTGTGTGTATGTAATGTCTGTATGCGGGTGGTATAATTGCACACATACTCATACCTCATTCTTTTACGATTACCTCTACCCCATGTATTTTGTAACCATTATGTTGACGTTGCTCCCCTATTCGTTCACTTCCAAGTCCCTTAAATAGTTGCCTTCCAGCTTGCACCATTCCAGCAGTTGATATGCCCACTCTCTCTCTCTCTCTCTCTTTCATTCTCGTTTTTACCTTCAAAATATGACTCTGACTTTTTGGCCACCTAAAAACCACTGCTGCTAAAATTCGCTCAACCTTTTGATGTGCAAGTTCTGCGCTTTCACTGCTCTGCTGCCTGCTTTTCCTTGTGTTCCGCAATTAAACGCATTCCTGCTTTTCCGTTTTTGTGTTTAATGCTAAAACTGGCAAAAGTCAAACAAATGTCAAAGGCTAGAGACGCGAGATTAAATTTGTGTGCTCCTTAAACTCCTACATTTCATGGCTGAAGCCCCAGACCCTGAAATGGCTGAAATCCCATACCGTAAAATCGCGGAAACCTTTACCTAGTTATGGCCCAAACCTCTCCCTTCAACTCCCTCTCCCAATATGGCTCAATCTTTTCTAACTATTTAGACAAAGGATCTACTATGCGGATGAGACAGAGGGAGAGGGAGAGCAGAGCGCGCTTTGATTGCCTGTAAGCGTCTACGCCTCTGCCTGCCATTTAGTGCCTGACAAAAGGCCAAAAGCATATCAATATGCCATGGCGCAAATACAGCAAGCAGAAAGCAAATACACGAAGAGAAAGTCACACTCAAACAGGGATTGGGTGTGGAGAGCGTAGCAGAAAGTCACATTCAAACGGGGTATAGAGGAGAAAAGCGGAGAAGAAACTGATGCTCATATGGGGAGAGAATGGGAGGCAGGAGAGCTCTCCTACCTATGCAAATATTTCAGGGGTCTCCGTCTGCCATTCAGGACTTTCTGCTTCAGTTCACAGAGCTGTTGCCATTGGTCTTCGTTTCGCTTCTGCTCTTGGTTCGAATGTATCTTGATACAAGTGCTGCAATTTGTACTCGTCGTTGCCTCAGCGTCTGCCTCAGACTCGCACTTGACTGCTCGTTTTGCCATTCAAATCTGCATGGGAATCTCCGAATCGAGAACTGCATTGAACCCCAAAGCATTCTTCTGCTTCTTCCCCTTTGGATTGCCTTTTGACTCTTGTGTTTCTCCACGCTGTGCTCTGCTTTGATGCTCTGGTGCGCGTTTAATAGTCGCAAATTGGTTCCATCACACACTTGGAATTTCGATTGGCTGTGTGATTTGACTACCCCGTGGTAAGAATGGATTTATTTCCATTCGGCTGCCAGACAAATGAATAGCAATATGAGGAGCGAGGGAGGTCTTTGTACCCATAATTATATTGCTTTCTCTGTATGTCTGTAAGAATGTTTTACTCCTGGCAATGTCAACCGCTTATCGGACCACAGAAACTCACAAATAAAAGAATGATTTCCAAAACAGTTTTCCCCCGAACCAAAAGCCACAAAAAGGCAACCATTTTATTTGTGTGCGGGCTTAAGCTACGTGTAAAATGGAACCCGCAGAATGGGATGCTCATTAAAATTTGTAACCCTAAAACCCTGATATACATGTGGATTTTGTCCGTGTCGCTCGTGTAAAAGGTACATACATACATATGTACATATGTGTTGTGTAGCTCCTGGGGAGTGGATGGTGTTTATGGTTCTGCCTCCTGTTTGTCGGTTCTCATCCTAAACCAAAAGCCATCAAATATACACCTCCTATAACATTTATTTGCTCCCGCACATAAGGGTAGATTGCCACCTTAATTTGTTTGGCTTAAACTTCAGCGAAAATTCACATGTAATGGTGAATTCTTCTTTCCAATTCCACAATTTGATGAACTTCAGATGATGGGATTTCCAATGACAGACATATTCCACCGAAGCGTGCTTATCAAAACATTCTTCATTTGTGTTTTATATGTTTGTATTTCTATTCTTTATTATGCTCTAACAAGAAGTATTCCCATTTTGTTGAAGATGTAGGAAAGTTAGGATTTTTAATGGTAAACAAATTACTATCAGTTATTAATGCCTAAACTTTTTGTATGGTATTTTTCTAGAATTTTTATTGGAATTTCTCATATTTTTTAGGGTTTTTTCAAAAATGTTTCTTCTATAATATTATCTGAAACCAAAGAAATGTAAGTGTACATAATGATTCGTGAACATAATTTGTTTACTTATTTTTCAATAATCCCTCGTTCCTTTTTACCATGAACTTGCGTATCGAGTTTTACTGTATTTTTGAGAAAATTCAAACAAAACTCATTTCGCATGAACAGCACAAGCAGCAACAGAAGTTAATAAATTACACATCAATTGTTCAGTCAATGTCATGTTGCCCTGTAAAAAAATGTATTGTGGCAGTATATTGCATTTCGTCTTGGTTCTTGAAAGCACCCAATGTACAGTGTGTGTCCCACTGTACTGCTTTCTGCCAGTTACTAACTGGCAGGCGGCTGTCAAATCAAATAATTGAACTTTCATTCCATTCTGAAAAATGAAGCAGAGGATCCAGTGGCAGTGCCTGTGGCAGCCACACATTAAAAGCGATTTAAAAAAGGAAAGAAAGAAATGGAAACCTTCTCTGCTCGTGGGAAAAACCTCCTCCTCACCCGTGAAGTGGGAGAGCACACACAAACACACATACTTTTTCTTCTTAATCCATTTTTGTACTCAACGTTAGCTGATGGATTACTCTCGTTCAAATGTCGAATCTTGTTAGAGGAAGATTTTTCCCACCATCCTCTTGCGCCGCTTCCTGCCTGCCACCAACAGATTGCAACAGAGAAAAAAACTGAGAAAAAAAAAGAACTGTGTCTGGGGGCTGATTCTGGTACTGATTCAGCGACTGGCGGCTGACATTTTACGGGGAGGCAAAGGCACACACAAATGTCGTCAGATTTTTCACGCTCCAGATTTCCAGAAAATCATTAGGAGTAAGTAAAGTTTCTCTTTAGTCAACTTTAAAGCTAAGTTAAAACTTTCTTTAGGATCTCAGTGCCCAGCTGTTACACTTGGCCAGCATTTTGCCTTATTTTGTTTGCCCGATAATTACTAGCCAGTTTGGCCATGCTCCGGTTTGGCCATTTAATTCCCTCGGGCCAAGGACTCTTTAGCATCCTAGGTGCATGCAATTTTTTTTTTATGCTCGTTTCCTCGTTTTCATTTTCTTTGCACTGTGTTTTTCGCCTGGCTTTTTTTGTAACATTTCCATTTTAATGTAGCCAATTTTCTGGCATTCTGTTGGTATTCCATTCCTGTTCTAATTTGTTGTTCCTCTGTTTTTCTGTTGCCTGTTTTTGCTCCTCTGTTTCTGTTTCTGTTTCTTGGGGAATTGCATAACAAAATGGAAATCTGTTTAGGCCACGCATGGGAATTGTTTGTTTTGTTCTGTTTGTTCTGTCGTTTATTTTATTACTTTAGGGAATTTTTCTCTTCCTGTATGATATTTTTTAAATATTTGGGTGTAACGATATTTTGTTGTTGTTGTATTTTCCCAAATGATTATTAATTATATCATATTTTCATATTTTCTTGTATTTAGGTTTTAAATTGTTTATTTAATTTTCTTGTAGATTGTTTTTTAAATGAATTTGCTTAATCTTCTTGATAAGTTCTGTTCCTGGCTGTGTTTCCAGATTAAATTGTTATATTAGACCATCAGATAACTTTGCAATTCTTGTCTTAACGTGCGTTTTAAATTAAGTACTCTGTAGTTTAATGTCATGTTAAAACTCTGCATCCTCCTTGTTCCCATATTCCACGAAGGAATACACTCGGGAGTATGGCAATAAATTAGGTTTAAAGTTGGCCTAAGCCGTCAGGATAATTAGATGGAATAATAAATTAGAGTTGCAACTAAAGTGTACCCTATAGAAACTAGTTATCCAAAGGTCATCAAATTTGTATTCTTAAAAATTGCAGATAAAAAACCTGTTTCTTTGCAGTTCTCTTTGCCCGCATATACTCCTATGCTACCGTATATTTTGACTAGCCAAGCATAAACGGCCTAACCATCATAAAGAGCGGACTTCCGCCTCCAACACAAAACCCCCTTGTGTAATGGCCGCACCTGCAGTGCGTCAACTAAGCGCACAGTTTTCCTTTTTATTTTTTTTAGGGCCTGACCAGCCCACAAGCCACATCCACGCAGCCACACAACACACCCATACATATGCAAAAATAAGCGTTGAGTTTAATGACGTCGTAGTTGTTGTAGTAGCCCCCAAAGTTTGCGTCAATTTCCAGGGCAAGCAAATCGCACAAAAGCTGTCATATAAGTGCACGAGAGGCAAAGTGTGTTACAGAGTGTATGTTATCCTGGATATATGTATAGATGTATGTAGGTATGTATGTATAAATGGGATGTGTATATTGTACTACGATACATATATACTTTCAGACAATAAAGAGGTTTATGTTCTAATTCTATTAGCTCAAAAGCAAGTGGTCAGGCGGTGGTCTGTGTGCGGTGTTCGTCGGCTGGGCGGACAGTCAAACGGAAGTCGTGGAATGCGTGTAGCAATTACCAGCGGACAAGAAGAAGAAACTCTTACTAAATGTGGTCCCCACATGCAATTATCTTTCCATGGATTACTCTTAGGTATCAGTTATGTTCATGAGATGTCATGTTAGGTATAATTCACAGAAATAGTTTTTTGTTTATGGAGAATTATGTATTCTTGGTATTACTTTTTTGTCGAAAATAACCATTAATTAAAATCTTGGTTTTTGTTATATTTCTGAAACTAATTTTTTTATAAATATAATAAAGTGTCTATTATTTTTGTATCCATATATAATTGGTATATTTTCTGTCAACTATTTTATTTTGCTTATAAATTAATTATTGCATCATTCGTATGTTACTTTAACCGATATGTCGCTTTCATGGTAGTAGTGACTTTTAGGGTGTTCTTTGAGAACTTATGTTCCTCTTACGGACAAGTGAAACGAAGGACTATGTTTATGTACATCCATGAAGAGAGTACCACATGGTACTCGTATATGCAGCAAATCCATAAATGAATGACAGCGAACATTTTACGATACTCTGCTGGTAATAGACTTAAAAAAGTTTGCCCTCTTCAAACCCTAAAAATTAATCAAATATTAAGTAAAATAAAAATGTCAGCACACAGTGATTTTGTGTTTGTGGTGCCTCCATTCAGACATGAAAGTAACTGAAAGTCTCTTTTTGGTGGAAAAATGTGTGGAGGAGCAGAAGTAATGTCTTGCTTTAAGGGGAAACTGGCAAATGTTTTCGTTAGTTTTTGGGTTTGCTCAATGAAATGGAAGGAATTGTGACGGTCAATTCTTTTATAAATTGTGACATACACCGATAGAGCAATCGAAAAATGTTTTAAAATGGGGTAAAGAAAGATTCAATGATACTATTCATTGATTGTTTGAACTGGTCTTTCTCTTTTAAATTCTTTCCCTTTTCAACTGTTACAACTGTTATGTGCAACATCTACTTATTAAAGGGGTCTTCTTTTAAGGTTAACTAAATCTTCTTTTATTGAAAGACGCTTCCATGCTGAGAGTAGCCGTAACTTATTTATGTGTTCTATTTTCCCCAGAATGTGCATCCTTTTTACTCTACTCTTTCAGCTTGTAAGAATTCTGCACATTTTCAATATGAATTTATGCATTTTTTTCTTTTGCATTTATTTCTCTCTCATTTTCTCTTTCATTTTTCTGCATCTTTTATTCGTTTCTAGTTGCTTTTCTGTAGATAAATTCAATTTTATTCAACATTTTAAGATGCGATTGGAAGGATGTATGAGCAGCAGTAGCAGCAGCAGCAACCTATTGTCAATGAACTGTTGGTCAAGTTTATAAAACCATGCCATAACCCAGTTATAGCTGGAAAATGTCCGGAAAATATATGCATTTCCGTGAGTATTCTTCAGTTTTTTTTCTTTCTCTTGAAAAGTATTCAGGGGATGGATGTATGCAACTGTGTGTGTGTGGCATTTGGGTATGGGTTCTGCAACATGCTCAACTGCTTGCTAACAAAGTTAACACAAGATTACTAATACGCACCATTGTACGTGACTTTTTGCTGTCAGCGTAAATCAAGTTTCATTATGTGCCAAGCGGAGAGCAGAGGGAGAGTGAGACTGTTGATGAAAATCTACAGATAGTAGAAGAAAATGTTAGGATACCTTCCACCTGCAGGCACAACTTTTGTTCTAATTGTGGGGCAGAAAGAGAGACACCGAGAAA